TGGTTACAGATCAATCATAAGCTATTATCTATAGGTGTGCTTTCAATCCAGAAATTAAGTGTGACCACGTAACTAGTAATATTGCTAAGTCATTTAATAACTGGATTAGAGACCATAAAGACTTACCTGTTGCTGACCTTGCTGATAAGATTAGAGAAATGATCCTGGTACTTTGGAACAGAGAGAAGAAATATTGCATACAAGCTACCTGAAGGCAGGATACTTCCAGCTATTATGCATCAGCTAAAGGCAAATACTAGAGGTTTGGGCCACTTGAAAATTGTACCATATTCTAATTGGAGTGCAGAGGTGTGGGACCATAGTAGCAGAGTTGAGAGGCATATTGCCAAGTTACACCAAAGGACTTGTACTTGTCTTGAGTGGCAGCACACTGGTAAGCCATGTCAACGTGTATTGGCCTATGTAACCCACCAACGGGGAGTTGACCTGGAACAGTTTGTGCATGAGTATTACTCGGTTGATAGATTCATGGCTGCTTATGGTAGAGAGATTGAGCTGATGACAGACAAAACACAATGGCCACAAGTTGAGCTACCATTTTTAGTTTGTGCACCTCTTGCTAAATTACCGGTAGGAAGACGAAGGAAACTAAGAATGAAGGGATGGATGGAAGGTGGCCACAAGAAGAAAGATTCCAAAGATGGTGAATGTACCAACAATGGTGAAGGTACCAACGAGGGTGAAGGCACTGCTCCAACCAATGCAAAGGGAAAGAAGATGATTAGAAGACCTATGACTTACAAAAAATGTGGTGAAAAAGGTCACAGGCAAGCTAGTGACAAATGCCCACTCAATGGGACAGAAAAAAGAGGTAAGTAATTATTTTCTTTATCACAAACTTGAATGAAAATGTCATTATTAATTTATTTATTATACTTACTCTAGCTCCGTGGGAATGACATGATCTACTAAACCTATAGCTATATATACTGAGTTCAGTTTGATTCTTGTCTTCTAAGAACTGAAGATTAATGTATGCATGTGTATTCCAATTGACAATGCTTCCATTGACCAAACACACATATATCACTTGAATGAAAATGTCATGATTAATTTATTTATTATACTTGTAGGAAGCGTAGGCAACCTACTAAAAATGTTACAAAAGCTGCTCTAGCAAAACTTAGCACCCCACGGAGGCCAACTAGAGAATAAATACTACGGGATAGTCCTAGAAGGGTCACTGGAAGGTAAGGAATGCTAACACATTTAACATTTACTAATTCTTTTCATGCATCTAATTGTCATACCGTATTTATGTGCAGCAAGCTTGCGTTGTTGTTAGGAGAGGGCACCTCTTCGCAAACCCACACCACTAGTTCTCTGAGGATGCCTACTGCGGCTCCACCAAAAAAGATGGCTCCAAAGAGAAAGCTACAAATTAGATGAATTATTTTAGCTATGATGAGATATAAACTCATGCTTTATTTCATATGAGATGACCTGTGATGAGATGTAAACTCATGCTAAAATCATGGATTTATGAGATGAGCTCAGTTATGTTAAATTCATGGTTTTATCTATTACTTCTTATTGTATATAGGTCTTTTTTTGTTAATTTTTATTATATATTAATATGTGAATTATTACATGTTACTGTCAGGCGGCGGCCAGCCAGCCCAGGCGGCAGCCAGCCAGCCAAAAGCGCCCTGCACCAGCCAACCCACGTCAATGAAACGTTCCTAACAGCAGAAGGGCAAAATGGTCATCTTACGGACAAAATACATGTATTAAGATTAAAAAGAGGTGAAATACACTTAATGTCGTGGAAAACAAGAAGCCAATGTTTTAAGGGTTATTTTAAGGGAGTTCATGGTTGGAGTCTATGATTACGAAGCGCGTTGTTGGGAGTCGATTGCAATTTTCCGCTTTCGGAGAAAGTACATCGTTTGTTGGGAGTCGATTGCAATTTTCCGCTTTCGGAGAAAGTACATCGTGTATATTTCGCTGGGCGCCACGGTGAGGGTTCTGGCCGATCCTTGACATCTCGTGGAGCCCAAGGAGCGTGTTTCCCGTTCGGCAGATGGGCTTACCGGATCAATAGTCGTGTGCGTCATGTGGCCGTTGCACGGGAGACAGAGCTAACGTAGATGGGCTGAGCCGGCATCTACACCTGGGCCCGCAAAAAAGGCCCTGCCTGCGAATACAACAGAGAGGCCCGTTTCTGTCAAGTAGCCTACCGTGGTTTGGTCTCTGCGGTTGACCTCTTTATTGTAGCAACAAGGATTTAGGCGAGCTTCATTTGCCGCTGCAGAGTAATGTGGCTACCTGTCACAGATAGGCCATAGCCGGGCATAGAATATGGGCATGTAAGTCGGCCTGTGAGCCGCTAGGGTGTGTGGGTAGTTGGAATGACAGCGGACAAGAATTAAAACCTAATCCTATCTCTTCTCCCGTGCTCTTCGTTGTCTGAGACGGCGTCACCATGCTCCTTCGCTGTGCGTGTTCACCAACAGCTACCCATATCCTTCCAGTACCGTGACACTACCATTACCATATACCATACCAGTCGTGATGGCTGAAAGAACCTAAACGATGCCTAGAGAGGGATGAATAAGCTCTTTACAAATTTAAACCTGTATAAAAATCAGATTAAAAACACAGAGCCGACCCCTAGAGCCATCTTAGCCGACTTCTTCTAGCTGAGCACATGTAGGCTTGTCAAGACCTTATTTTGATATTCTTTCTTCCCCTCTTCAATCCAAGGTGGTGTGGGATGTATTTGGTGCAAATGTAACTTGCTCAAGATGTCCCTACACCCACAAAAAACACATATACCCGAGTAGATACAAATGGAGGCTCACAAATATGAAATGAATGCAATGTAACGTAAATGTGAGCCAAACCAAACATAGGAGACGCATCGACTTGTTTGACCGAAGTTCAAGCCTCACCAATAATGTGAGTCGTACCTCTCCGTTGTGGAAGCCAATGAGTGACCCAACAAAGGTCTACTCGTGGCCGGGTCCAAAGCGACCTCTTTCCACCTTTTCACTAATTAAGGAGTCTTCTTTCCTCTTTCAGCGGGGAGACCAACCCTTACAAACTTTCGGGCGCACACCTTGGTGACTCACCAGCAACCACTAAGGTCTCCTAGGAGCAAAGCTCCAAGAGTAACAAATGCTTCACATGAACCTGATGTCACCACAAAGTGCTCAAGGGTTGCTCAACTTATATTTTGCTCACACACAATCTCACAAGGCTCAAATATTGCTCTCCAATTCAAGAAATATGGCTAGATGACACCAATCCCACAAAGGGTGAATTGGGAGCTCTCTTTAGGCTTTGTTGGTGTATATGTGGGTGAGAAAGCTTCAGCAACCGAGGCAAGGCCATGGGGGGAGGTATAAATAGGTGAGCTTCGAAAACTAGCCGATAAGAGCATATGTATCTTTCAATTCACTTTCTAAATCCTTATTTGAAGAGTCATTTGTAAAAAAAATCACACTATATTTTTTCACCCTACAACAACTTTTCTTTATCTTGTGCGTACTTTTGAGAGCTCGCTTCAATCTCCGTCTTTGGCTAGCGAGAAATCATGAATAGACGATGATAATATTTAGAGAATAACTCCAAAAGATTCTTTATATCCTTTTTTATTGATAAGAATAGAGTATTTTATTGAAAAAAATACTTCAACAGTTTCTTTCATTAGATCTCTAAATGTTGTCGTCATCTGTTACTGTTTCTCACTGACTACAGGTGAAGAGCAAAGGTAGTTCTTCAAAGTGTACATAAAATATAGATAAGCTCTTGAAGAGTGAAAAGATATAGAAAAAGGGTTTTCATTTAAAGTTTAAATGATTCTCCGAATAAGAATTTAGAAAACGAGTTTAAGATTCGGTAAGATAATATTATTTTTTAAAATCCTGCAGCGTGAGTGGAGAAGGGTCATGGTCTCACGGGGATGCTAAGGCCCGTTTGGCAGGGCTTCTCCACCAGAGCTATTTAGAGTTGTTTTGTGCCAAACGGGGTAAAACAAAACAACTTCATCTAGGAAGCCCCTTAAATCGTGCTCTCACAGAGGTTTGAAATGAAATGAAGCTAAAAATAGTGGCTTCACTCGGCTTCACCTCATCCTGCATAGCGTTCCGTGAGAGCATGTTTTAAGTAAATCTATATATGGAGCTGTTTTGCCAAACGATTTACCAAAACGGCTCCAGCTCCACCGATGGAGCTATTCATTAAGCTGAAGCAAAAAAACGGCTTTACTAGTGAAGTAGAGCCGTGCCAAATGGGGCCTAAGCGTGCACACATATCGAACTAATGGACCCAGGCTGTACATGTGGCTAAACTTTTACTTTGAAATTTTAGCTAGCTAAAATTTTACTTTGAAATTTTAGCTAGCTAAACTTTAGTTTGGTGCATCGATGCTGCCCGCACACAATAAGCATATATTTTAGTTGAGTCAACGTTTGAATCTAACGGTTGCTTGGAATATAATGGTTCAAGAGATTCTAAACGGAGTAGCCCCACGCACATGCCCGAATGCGCTATGACTACGAGTAAGAGGTACCACTGTCATTTGGCTGGAGTATATAGTATACTAATTAAACAAGGGATCTGTACATGTGCGTGGGGCTAGCTAGTCAAGGGATCTGTGTGCTGTGCTTAATTCAAATGTCAAGTGGATCTGTGAGCAAAGGTTGGCGATACATCGGTTGTGTGATTGCATTGAGTGAACACCTTACCGTCTGATAATCTGATTCATCGATTCGCAGAGCAGCACTGCAGCAGCAGCGAGGTACGGCAAATTTTCTCAATTCCATTCCGAGTCGTAGGAACTTATTCGTCCCTTCGATTAAGTGATCAAGCTTTCTTTTTTTCTCCGCCGAAAGATCAGTGATGAAGCTTTTTCTAGCTGCCAGTTCATGCATCTGTTTCAGTGATCACCTATTTGATGTCGATCATTCGATTAATTTGCGTACTGTATGCACTACGTTCAGCTCGGAGGTCGGTCGATCGGTCGCTCGTCGACGATGTTTTTGGACTCGGTGACGCAGTTCTGGAGCGACTGGGGTCTCCGGATCTCTGTCCTTGTCAGTTTAGCGGCGTACGCCCTCCTGGGTTTCCTGTCCGGGACACGGCGGCGCTCGGCGGCCGGCAGCCTGTGGATCCTCCAGTGGGCACTGAGGGCCATCCTGTGGACTTTGTACCAGTTCGCCGAGATCGCCGCGACGAGCGCCATCGGCAACCTGTCCCTCCGCGGCGCCAGCGCCGGCGGCGCGTCGGGGGAGGAGCAGCAGCTGGTAGCGTTCTGGGCGGCGTTCCTCCTTCTCCACCTCGGCGGCCCCGACAACATGACCGCGTACGCTCTGGAGGACAACATGCTCTCCCTGCGCAAAACGGTGGAGATGGCCTTTCAGATTCTCGGGGTCGTGTATGCCATCTGGAACTACATATACCGCGGCCACAACAGCAGGGTTCTGTTCGCAGCGTCGGCCATCGTCTTCGTCGAGGGCGCCGCCAGGTACATGGAGAGGGCATACGCTCTACGGCGAGCCAATTTGGACAACATGCAGGAGCAGGAGCCGGACGAATCAAGCAAGAACAAGAAGCCGGCGGCCGCAGATGGATCGTCGTCGTCGACGTCAGCAGGGGCCTGCAGCAGCTCCAGATCCAGGTCTTCCAGCGCGGCCGCTGTGGAATCCACGATCATGACGTACGAAGGACGGGCGCTTGACGACGGCGCGGCGCTGCTCCTTGCCCAGGATCTGTTCCACGTCTGGCGTCGCTTCCTGGTGGATTCTTCCGTTGACCGACGGTCACCCTGGCAGCGTGCCAGCGAGAAGCTACTCTCGCTGCCTTGGGAGAAGATGTGCACGGTGGCGGAGATGGAGCTCTCCCTCATGTACGAGGTCCTGTACACCAAGGCGACCGTGGCGCACACCTGGCCAGGCTACCTCATCCGCTTCCTGTCGCCTGTCTGCAGCGCTGCCGCCGCGTCGCTCTTCTGGGTCCACCGAGATCGTGGTAGCAAGGGCCGCCACCGCCACCCGGTCGGGGCATCCGCATCCTTTGTCGGGATCACCTACCTCCTGTTGGGCGCCGCCTTCGCCCTGGACGTGGTGTGGCTGCTGAGAGCCCTCGGGTCCACCTGGACGTACGCCTTCCTCAAGAAGACGAACAAGTTGGCCCCGCGGCGGCGGCGGCGACCATGGACTTGGTCTTGGTTTCGCCACAAGGCTCTGTGCGGTGGGTGGTGGCGCCGGCTCCACCGCGCCGCCGTGTACCTGGACCTGGACCCGCTGCGGCTAGCGTTGGGTGTCGATCCCGTCGCTTACAGGAGGTGGTCGGGCACCATCGGGCGCTACAACCTGCTGCACGAATGCACCGCTCCTCGTCGCCCGTGCCGCCGGTGGCTGGCCACCAAGCTCGGGCTGGAGGAGAAAAGGTTTCTGTCCGAGCTTCCTCGAGGCGTCAAGCAGCTGGTGTTCGAGCGGGTACAGAGGATACTGCCGACGACCGATAACCCGCCGGCTTGTCCTGATGGCGGTGGCGCATACACCATGGTGGACATCACGACATGCTGGGGCCAGGTGACCATCCGGAGGGCCGCGAAGCTATTTCGTCGACCGGACGAGCAGCCCATCCCCGGCCGTGAGTTCGAGCAGGACGTCCTCGCGTGGCACATCGCCACCTGCATCTTCCTCTCGCGCGACAGAGTAAGGAATAAGATACCAAAGTCATCGATGGCCGGCGGCCATGTGGCGGCGATCGAGGCGATGTCCGAGTACCTGATGTTCCTGGTCGCCAAGCGCCGGCAGATGCTGCCGGGCCTTGTCCTCCACAGCCAACTGGAGCAGACGCGCACAGCCTTGGAGCAGATATGGAACAACGGCCGTAACCGTAAGGGAGGAGGAGGACACGAACACAAAGAGAATCTTGCCGCGCTGGTGCGATGGAAGAGGAACGAAGACCGAGACTGGCTGGAAACTGAGGGCAGGCGGCTCGTTCTTGATGCAGCCGAGGTTGCTGGTGCGCTGACAAATGCCAGTTTGCAGCAGCGGCAAGTGGTCCAGATGCTGGACCTCATCTTCAACGTGTGGGTGGATAAGCTGCTGTACGCGGCCGTCAGGTGCAGCAGGGAGTCCCATGCCAAGCAGCTCAGCCGTGGTGGTGAGCTCACCACCATGTTGTGGATTGTTATCCAGCATGCTGGCCCCTTTCGCATTGGAGAACAGAAGCCCGGTTACGACAAGGATTCCGATCGCAAAAGGAAGCCTCACGAGAAGAAGCCGGAGGCAAAGAAGGACGATGCGGATAAGAACGATGGTGATAAGAAGAAGAAGGAGGAGGAGGAGGAGCTCCACAAGGGCCCCTGCTGCTGCTCGTGCCCGTACCCTTACCCAACCCCGTGCCCGTATTCATACCCACGCTCACGCCCTTACCCTTACCCTTACCCTTCCCTTACCCTTACCCTTACCCATCTTACCCGTACCCGTACCCACCACAATCACCCCGATATGGGATGCCCATGTCCTTGGTAGAAGATGAATCTGAGGTGCCTATGCCCATGCCCAAGCCCAAGCCCAAGTCTGAGCCCGAGCCCGAGCCCGAGCCCGAGCCCGAGCCCGAGCCTTTAGCACCAAGAGATGGATCTGAGGAAGCCGAAGTATCTCAGATGCCCATGCTAGAGGATGAAATGGTGGATCCTGAGGATGCTAAAGATTCTAAGATGCCGATAAGGTATGCTACACTGTATTGATGCGTTGAAACGGGAATCCAGACTTTGTTTGTACAAGATGACAATAAAGCACATATATGCTGTGTGAGCGTTTACATCTTTCAGGGTTGAGCGAAATTAGTAAGCAAAATGCACAGAGGTACTGGACTCACATTATGTTCTGCTCTGCAAGTTACAATGGTTAGTTTGGGATCAGCTTATACGCCTCCAACCTATACACAGCGTGCCACCACATGTTTCAACCAATATGTCCTGCTCGCTTCTTTTAGCATGTGTCTATATTCTCTCATTGAGGCCAACATTTGTACTTGTACATTTTTTTGATGAAATACTTGTACATTTTTACAAATGGAAAAAAATATAGGCAACCTAGTTAGGTCAAATAGCAGCCATAAGTGACTTATACGTTGGCTTGCGCAGTCTAATTAAGTTCACTACAAAATGCCTTATCTCCATTTACTCAAAAACAAATTATCATCGATGAGCACTTTAGTTGATCTTCTTGTTTTTGACATTATCCAACATCGCACAACCTCTAAGTCCTCTCACCTGAACAAAGTCAAGGTGGCATTTGTTAATAACACTGAATTGCACAACTAATTTCCATTTAAATAACCTATAATACATCAGTGTAGTAACTAAATCTAAGCCAAAAATGAATACCAAAATCATCAAGATTTTTTTACCCTCTATAAAGACAACTAAACAACAACAGTTGTAAGTCAATAAATAGTGAGAATTATGGATGAAAACGGTACGGATATTTATTCGACCGTCCGTTCGACCGAACAAATATGAACACTTATCTGGATAGTTACTCGGATATCCGGTTTTTTTTTCGGATACGGATACTAAAACGGATATCTTAGGCGGATATCAAATACGGATGTAATATCATCGATATCCGGCGGATATCGGATAATCCGGATAAGTATCGGATATATCCGGATATTTAAAAACGGATATTATCCGGATATTTATTCAAAATTTAAAAATCACAAATTTGAACCATCCAAACTATCTCGAATGGAAAGTTGACCAAAACAACAATTGTAGATCTTGATGAGTTGAACAAACTTGGTATTCAAAACTTTTCAATTTGAAGTCATTTAGAGTTCATAATACTAGAGTCAAAGTGTTGTTTTTTCATTTGACCAAATTTGACTTAATCAAACTTGCTCAAATGAGACACTAAATGACCTCAGATGAAAAAACTCTGAATACCAAGTTTGATCATCTCAGCAAGATCTACAATTGTTACATAGCTCATTTTCCCATTTGAGAAAGTTTTATCAAACACTAGTCATAAATTCTTGAATCTCATATAGACTTTCTGAAACTATGTCACACACTTGTGAAATTTGAACTATATTTTGTTCAAACTTTCTCAAATGAAAAAATGGCCTATATAAGGATTGTATATATTGATGAGATGAACAAATTTGGTATTCAAAACTTTTCAATTTGAGACAATCTAGGGTTTTGAAAACTAGTTTGTAAACGTCGAAATTTAAAAATCACAAATTTGAACCGTCCAAACTATCTCAAATGGAAAGTTGACCAAAACAACAATTGTAGATCTTGATGAGTTGAACAAACTTAGTATTCAAAACTTTTCAATTTGAAGTCATTTAGAGTTCATAATACTAGAGTCAAAGTGTTGTTTTTTCATTTGACCAAATTTGACTTGGTCAAACTTGCTCAAATGAGACACTAAATGACCTCAGATGAAAAAACTCTGAATACCAAGTTTGATCATCTCAGCAAGATCTACAATTGTTACATAGCTCATTTTCCCATTTGAGAAAGTTTTATCAAACACTAGTCATAAATTCTTGAATCTCATATAGACTTTCTGAAACTATGTCACACACTTGTGAAATTTGAACTATATTTTGTTCAAACTTTCTCAAATGAAAAAATGGCCTATATAAAGATTGTATATCTTGATGAGATGAACAAATTTGGTATTCAAAACTTTTCAATTTGAGACAATCTAGGGTTCCGAAAACTAGTTTGTAAACGTCAAAATTTAAAAATCACAAATTTGAACCGTCCAAACTATCTCAAATGGAAAGTTGACCAAAACAACAATTGTAGATCTTGATGAGTTGAACAAACTTGGTATTCAAAACTTTTCAATTTGAAGTCATTTAGAGTTCATAATACTAGAGTCAAAGTATTGTTTTTTCATTTGACCAAATTTGACTTGGTCAAACTTGCTCAAATGAGACACTAAATGACCTCAGATGAAAAAACTCTGAATACCAAGTTTGATCATCTCAGCAAGATATACAATTGTTACATAGCTCATTTTTCCATTTGAGAAAGTTTTATCAAACACTAGTCACAAATTCTTGAATCTCATATAGACTTTCTGAAACTATGTCACACACTTGTGAAATTTGAACTATATTTTGTTCAAACTTTCTCAAATGAAAAAATATCCTATATAAGTATTGTAGATCTTGATGAGCTGAACAAACTTGGTATTCAAAACTTTTCAATTTGAGACAATCTAGGGTTCCGAAAACTAGTTTGTAAGCATCGAAATTTAAAAATCACAAATTTGAACCGTCCAAACTATCTCAAATGGAAAGTTGACCAAAAAAAGAATTGTAGATCTTGATGAGTTGAACAAACTTGGTATTCAAAACTTTTCAATTTGAAGTCATTTAGAGTTCATAATACTAGAGTCAAAGTGTTGTTTTTTCATTTGACTAAATTTGACTTGGTCAAACTTGCTCAAATGAGACACTAAATGACCTCAGATGAAAAAACTCTGAATACCAAGTTTGATCATCTCAGCAAGATCTACAATTGTTACATAGCTCATTTTCCCATTTGAGAAAGTTTTATCAAACACTAGTCACAAATTCTTAAATCTCATACAGACTTTCTAAAACTATGTCACACACTTGTGAAATTTGAACTACATTTTGTTCAAACTTTCTCAAAATAAAAAAATGGCCTATATAAGGATCGTAGATCTTGAATCCATGACCATGACTCCATGAGACCCATGAAGCAATGTGCTTGGCTATTTCTACTCATGCCAAAAGATTGGTGCTTATATGATGTTTGATGTATGATGTATCTCAGATCTTTATCTTATTTGTTGCTTTACTCTTTAGTCTTTCGGCTTAATCTAGATGGATTATGGACTCATAGAGTGGTGTAATGGTTTTAGCATGCATGATGATATATATATATATATGCTGCTTTTACTCAATATCCAGAATAGATATTTGTATCCGACCTTCTCCGAATCCGATTCATACCGTATTCGATACTCATTATTCGTATCCAGAATCGAAGTCAATCCAGATTCGTATATATGTATCCGAACGCTATCCGTGTCCGAATCCGAATCCGAACAGAAATATGAAAACAAATATAATATGAGTGATATCCGTTCGTATCCGATCCGTTTTCATCCCTAGTGAGAATAGACGAATCATACCTGCAGTGGACATCATGGTATATCTTTAAATTTTATATTTTAAGACTGCAAGAATTAGTACAGTTGAACTCTAATGCGGCAAGCTCAAGTCAAACAAGAAAGACAATTCACTTTTTTTTTCTATTACGACTTAGTTCCATATGGTAGATATCACGACTTAGTTCCATATACAAGAAAACATGTTAAATTTGCAAATGAATTGGGATTACATAGGATTATATAATAAGCATGGCCATGCAAAATCTGTTCTCCTACCCCTCGCATGGCCTCGAGCAGAGACACTGAGCGAAAGGGTCCTCGCATCACTACTACACAAAATCTTTTACATAGCGTTTACCAAATGGGCTCCGAGGCGGTTGGCCTGGTTGCCCGCCTCGGTTATTCGAGGCAGGGTAGCCAGGCCAGCAACCGCCTCGGTTAATCCTTAACCGAGGTGGGCACTGTAGCGAAACCACCACCGAGACGGTCGCCCTAACGTAACCACCTCGGTTAATCGATTAACCGAGGTGGTTGCCCTAAGCCAACCGCCTCAGTAATCAAGATATTACAAGATGGTTGGCTTAGGGCAACCACCTCGGTTAATGGATTAACCACGACGTTTGTTCTATAACAACCACCTCGGTTAACAGGTGATTAACTGAGGCGGTTTTCCAATAGTGCCCGCCTCGGTTAACTCTGGGATATAAATGCATCTGCACCCACCCTTCTTCCCCACGGCTCCTCCATTTTTTGGGTTTTGACCTCAAAACCCTAAAAAGTGGTCATTTTCTAGGGGGAGAGGTTTTGCCCTTGAATTTGTTGAAGGGGGGCACCGCAAGAGGTTGATTCTCGCTCTCAAACCCTCAATCTTCTCTCTTTTCCATGATTTGGGTGCTTTTTCTCAAGATCTAGATCTATATGGAGGAGAGATAAATAAGATCTAGAGCTACCCGGCTGTCTTTTTTCGTACTGCTCCGCTTATATGCGCCATTTTCATTGTTTGCATGTGCAAGGTGTTCGTGGTCATGGATATGGAATGGATGTATAAGACATCGATGCTGGAACAAGCTTACCTGGATCATGTGACAAAGTTTATTGCCGCTGTGAAAAGACATCGTCTGAATCTGAAGTGGGAACACACCATCTATCCGTATAAGAGCTACAAGAACCTTTTTGCCCACGGAGATGACATGGTGAAATCTCACTTGGTCTGATAAGGTTTCATCAAGCTGATTACACCGTCTGGAAGTTTCATGGGGAAATAGAGAATCCGAGTGCTGGTGCATCTGGAGGAAACTCGTCGACAACAACGATGGCAGCGATGAATGCAGAACAACAAACCTCATCAGCAGTGGCTGGCG